AATAACGATAGATTTAAAAAGGGGCCGTGAATATTCACCTTTTCTTTCACGGAGAAGATGGTTGAGAGATCCAATGGTACGTCTTGGTAAAGTTCTTTTAGTAAATCCCTATAAAAAAACAGTTGTCAAACTCTTAAAGCTTAATGTTACTATTCTACCTTTATGTCTTATAAAATGCCTCTTTATGTTCTGAAGATAAAAATCAAGTTTTAAGCCCTTTATATGCTTATTATGGGGTTTATGGTTTAAGAGTCCAATTTTTAGTGGTTTTAGGAAATCATGCATGCTGACAGAATCTTTGTGACTCAATAATGTCCATTGTTCACGTTCGTCCAAGAAGTATATTTTCCAAAAAAGTTATATGTTTTAGTATATTGAGTTAGAATCATTTTGACCAAAAATCAAGATTTTTGGATGAGTGGAAGGGTCTCAAACAAATTTTACCAAAACAGTGGTTATAGCTTTCAAAACAGAAAACCCCTTCTTCATGTTACACCCTTTTGAAGGAGTTATACTTATTATTTTCCAGTGGTTCATGAATCGTTTTAAATATAACACATAAGGCTATCTTTTCCAAAACAATCACTATATTTGGATGTATAGTTTGGGAGTTATGGTTGTTTAAACATGCATGTGGAAATATGTCAAGTCTGGACAGATTGCACACTTATTTTGTAAAAATCGTTTGAACCCTAAATCACAAAGTTTTTTGGTGGGGTTAGACTATTTTGAAAGATAACACTTTAATCTATACTCTAGAGGTAAAATTTCATGAGTTTTGATGTTTCTTATAAGAGTTATAGATGAACAATGAGACACAAAATTTCTGACCGACCACTGTTGCACACCAAATTTGTTTTGGATGTTGTGAGGTCATAAGGTCATATTTTCTCATGATTCCACTTGGGTTTGAAAACGAATACACTAAATATTATTTAGAAAAAAGATTCATGCTTATTGGGTCCATAAACAACCAGATATGGTCGTTCCAAACTCATGCACTGAATTTATCCATGAGAAAAGTCATTCTTTTATGCAAAAATGGACTTTTATGAATCAAAATTTCCAAAAATGATGATTTTATGAAAGAGAACTCAGATTCCATAAGAGACACAAAAATGCATGAAATGAAGGTTTTTCTTGTTTTTCAAAAGTTCTAGATGGTTAAGTCATGGATTTTCACCATATTAAGAATATTTTTCATGTCTTTGGTGTAAAATCTACCCTTAGMACTTAGAATGAAGAACACCTCTCCTTTGTAAACTTAAAAGTATGAAAATGACAAGAAAATGACACTAAAAATGCATAAAATAAAGCCAAAATACTAACAAATGTTCTTACCTTTGAATAAAAGAAGATGATTTCTTCAAGTTTTGCTTCTTGAATCTTTTCTTTTCTATGATTAAATGGCTGAATTTTATTTCTTGAAGAAGAAGATGGAGGAAGAGAGTAGTAGATGAAAAGTGAGGGAGAGTAAGGAGATGAAAGGTTGCCAAGAGAATAAGAAATGAGTATTTTAAAATTTCAAAATGTATTTATATGTAGAGAAGGGGGGGCAGGCATTAGATGGGCCTATGGGCCTCTCTCTACTTCTTTTTTTGTAAAAATTTAGCCCATAATTTAATAAGTTGGGTATTTTCCTGAGAAATTGGGAAAAAGCCCCAAACTCCTACTTTATGAGATAAATAAATTCCTGAAATATAATTTTAAGTAAAAATATTTTAAATATGTAGACTCTATATTTTATGCAAGTTTTAAAAATTATTTGGAGTGTTTGACATTTTATAAGACGATTCGGTTCATTACGGGCCGAAACAGTGTTTTCTACGTAACCTATCGGGATTTCTAACTACTTAATCTCTAATCGCTCTACTTGAGTGTTAATAATATTTCTTAAGTGATATCTAGCTACTAACCTGGTATTTAAATTTTCAGATGTCACAGCTTCCCCCTGTTAGAGGAATTTCGCCCCGAAATTTAGCTATTGGTATCATCGATTGGTTCTTTCATAAAAAGCTGCGGGTAATTCTTTTTCATAAAGTCCTCCCTTTCTCAAGTGTACTCGGGTCCATGCCTTGAATTCCATCAAACTTTCAGGATCAGAATCGTACTATGTCTCAAATGTTTGACTTTATGGTCGTGGATTTCGATAGGCTCTTCAACGAAGCGTCACCGTTCATTAATTTGAAAGTCTTCCAAAGGTAGAACCAATGATTCGTTGGTTAAAAAGTTCCTAAGGTTTGATACGTGAAATGTATCATTGATGGCACTAAGCTCTTGAAGAAAGTTTAGTTTGTATGCAACCGGTCCTACTCTTTCGAGTATTTCAAATAGACCAACATACCTTGGGCTAAGCTTTCCTTTCTTTCCGAAGCGCACAACTCCTTTCCATGGAGATACTTTTAAAAGGAATTTATCACCCACTTGAAATTCCAACGGTTTCCTGCGGTTATCAACGTAGCTCTTCTGACGATCTCTTGCAGCTTTAAGTCTTTCTTGGATGCTCGAGATTTTGTCGGTTGTCTCTTGGAAATGTCAGGTCTAGTCAGCTGTTTGTCACCAATTTCCAACCAGCTGAGTGGGGATCTACATTTACGCCCATACAAGGCTTCGTACGGTGCGCACTGGATACTGATGTGATAGGCATTGTTTTAAGAAAATTCAACCAATGGTAGGTGAGTATCCCAACTACCTCCAAAGTCTATCACACAGGCTCGTAACATATCCTCTGGCATTTGGATAGTCCTTTCTGTTTGCCCATTCGTTTGAGGATGATAGGAAGTGCTTAAGTCCAACCTCGTGCCTAGTGCCTTTTGAACTGATCGCCATAATCGTGAAGTAAAACGGCTATCTCTGTCCGAGATGAAAGAAATAGGTACTCCGTGACGCGATACGATTTCATTGATATATAATTGTGCAAGCCTTTCCATACTAAAGTCTTCTCGAACATGTAAAAAGTGCGTAGATTTCGTAAGCCGATCCACTATGACCCAAATTAAGTCATGTTCTTTCCTAGTCCTAGGTAACTTAGTAACGAAGTCCATTTATATCTGATCCCACTTCCATTGGGGAATCTCTGGTTGCTAAAGAAGACCAGACGGTTTCTGATGCTCAGCTTTTTCCCTTGCGCATGTTAAGCACCGACTTACGTACAAAGCAACGTCCTTCTTCATTCCTGGCCACCAGTAATACTCTCTTAGCTCTTTGTACATCTTATCAGTTCCTGGGTGAATTGAGTATCTTGAGCGATGTGCTTCCTCCAAAATTGTTGACGGAAGGCTGTCGTCCTTTGGTATCCAAACTCTATATCTGAAGTAACGCACCCCATCTGCTTGAGTTTCGAACTCCTTCTCTAAGTGGTGCAAGGTCTCGTTCTTCAGATTCTCCGATTTCAACGCCTCATCTTGAGCTTCAAGAATTTGTGTTTTTAGGTTCGTTTGAATCAGCATCGCCATGGCTCGTACCCTTGACAGTTTTACCCTTTCTTTCCGGCTTACTACGTCTGCTACCACGTTAGCTTTTCCCGGGTGGTACTTTATTTCACAATCATAATCGTTGAGAAGTTCGACCCATCTCCGTTGCCTCATGTTCAACATCTTTTAGTCTAGGATATGTTGAAGGCTTTTGTGATCACTGTAGATGGTGCATTTGGTGCAGTAGAGATAATGTCTCCAAATCTTGAGTGCAAAGACCACTGCTCCTAGCTCCAAAGTCGTGAGTGGTGTAGTTCTTTTCATGAACCTTGAGTTGCCTTGATGCATAAGCAATGATCTTGTCATTTTGCATCAGCACACATCCCAAGCCTTGGTGTGACGCATCGCAGTATACCACAAAATTCTCCGTACCTTCTGGTAGTGCTAAGATCGGTGCATGACATAGCTTATGCTTGAGCAATTGGAATGCTTCTTCTTGCTTTTCTCCCCACATGATCTCCTTATCCTTCTGGGTTAATTCCGTCAGTGGTTGTGCGATCTTGGAGAAATTTGAAATAAATCGGCGATAGTAACCAGCTAAATCGAAAATTTGGCGAATTTCTGTCGGGGTCCTTGGGGCTTCCCACTTCTTTATAGCCTCAACTTTGGCCGAATCAACATGAATTCCCTTCTCATTTACTACATGACCAAGGAAGTGCACCTCACGAATCCAAAATTCGCATTTGGGGAGCTTAGCATACAATTTTTGATCGTTTAACAGCTCAAGTATCAACTTTAAGTGTTGTTCATGCTCCTCCTTGTTTTGCGAATAGATCAATATGTCATCTATGAATACAATCACGAACTTATCCAAATATGGCCTACAAACTCTATTCATTAAATCCATGAAAACTGATTGCGCGTTAGTTAACCCAAAGGGCATAACTAAGAATTCATAATGACCATAACGTGTTCTGAACGCCGTCTTAGGAATATCTACCTCAAGGACCCTCATTTGATGGTATCCGGATCGAAGATCGATCTTTGAAAAGTAAGTCGCACCTTGAAGTTGATCGAACAAGTCAACGATTCGGGGAAGGGGATATCGGTTCTTGATGATCAGCTTATTGAGTTCCCTATAATCGATGCACATCCGAAGGGATCCGTCTTTCTTTTTAACAAATAGTACTGGGGCTTCCCAGGGAAGAGTTGGGTCTGATGAATCCTTTGTCGAGTAACTCCTTAAGTTGTTCTGACAATTCTTTCATTTCCGATGGTGCCAAACGATAAGGTGATTTGGCTACGGGAGTTGCTCCAGGAATTAAGTCAATGTGGAATTCGACTTGCCGTAACGGGGGTAATCCTAGCAGCTCATCAGGAAATACCTCAGGAAAATCCCGAACTACGGGAAAATCCTGGATGCGTTTCTCTTCGATTCCCTTATCCATAATGTGGGCCATAATCGTGACATATTCCTTTTTCAAGTATTTCTGCATCTTCATACATGTTACTAACTTGAAATTTCTCTGGGACTTCTCTTCGTGCACCACGAGCGTTTCACTTCCTTTAAAAATTCGGATGGTCTTCTCAGAACAACATATCTCGGCTCGATTTTTGGATAGCCAATCCATACCCCACAACTACATCAAAGCTTCCTAATCTGATCGGAATAAGGTCTATGCTAAAGTCTTGTTCAGCTAAACGTAAGGTACAATTCGTGATTACGTCTTTTGTCCTAACTTCTTGTCCATTAGCAAACTCGATAACGAAATCTTCTTTCAGCTTTTGCGACTTTAAACAAATCTTTGGTCTAAATTCTAGTGACACGAAGCTCCTATCTGCTATAGAATCAAATAATATAGATACGTAATGATTGTTTAGAAGGATTGTACCTGTGACCACGTTCGAGTCTTGCCTGGCTTCTTCTACCCCAATCTCAAACGTTCGACCTCGTGCTTGGCCTCCTTGATTTTCTTGGTTGAATGGTCGTGCTAAGTTAGTAACTAGCCATCCGTTCAGTCTCGGGCATGTATTCCTAAAGTGATCTGGGCTTCCCCACTCAGGGCATGTTCGTCTCCTTCCGCTCCTGCAATCTTTAGCGAAATGACCTCCTTTGTTGCATCTGAGACATATGATGCATCTCCCGCCATGGTAATTATTGCACTTGTCACACCTAGGGTAAGTTCCCTTGTCCTTTTCTGCTGTCTGTGTCTGAGCCCCAAAGTTTCTTATCACTTTTTGGCCCTTACCGCCCCTCTCGCTGTAGTTCTTTCTCACAGACTCCTCCATTCTTTTCTTACCCTTGACTTTATCATTTGCAAATGATATTGACCGAATAGCATTGTTGGTGAGTTTTACCGCTAAGTTCATAGCGTCCTAAGGTGTTTTTGGATTGGCCGAAGTCACATTCCCTCGGATTTCTGGAGCTAAACCCCAGACATAACGGTCAATTCGGTTCTCTTCGGGTGATACCAAGTGTGGCACCAATTTTGCCAACTCATGAAAGCGAGCAGTGTATGAGTCTACATCACTTCCCTTCATTTTGTGAGTCCACAGTTCTGCTTCTAACTTTTGGATCTCGCTTCTTGAATTCCTCACACGTTAGTCTGTTGGTTGTTTCCCGACCACGGGTTTGTATCTGGGTATTCCACCACGTCAATGCCTGTCCTTGCTGGTAAATAAGCTGCAAACTCCACTTTGCTTCCTTCAGCACATTTACTGATATGAAGGACGGACTCCATTCCTTCAATCCAAGTAAGTAATCCCACGACTCCTTCTATCCCATTAAATTCATTTGGGTTTCAAGCCCTACAGCCTTTATACGTGCAGTCTCTATTTGCTGATGTACCTTGGTTGTTTTCTTGGTTAGCGTTCAAGCCTGCTGCTACTTGGCTAACTATATTAGGAAGGGCCGCCAGAATTTGCTTGGACACAAGCCTTGCAATTTCGGGATCTTCTCTTCTTGGAGGCATATTTCTAACGCACAAATTTTAAATCAAAGTTCAGTTATTTTTATTGTTTATCATTGTATCTACTTTATTGAATTATGCACGGCATAATTCAATCATCTAAACATGCATCCAAGGCAATATATAATAACTTGTAATAATAAAGGCATTCAATCATTAATCAACATAATTTAACCAATTTAAAAACCCATATCATCCATAAAAAAATAAAGACGTGCAACAAAAAGAAAGAAATTGTTCATAAGTCATGGCTACATGCCCCAAAAGAAGATTCTATGTTTGATCTATCAAAAGCTTAGTAAACTAGAGTTTTCTAGCGCATTAGAGTCCAAACAAGTAGTCCCATCACTATCACCAAAACTCCTGCTAACACCGCCAAGTAGGTATATAACCTTCTAATCGCTCCCCTAGCGGTGTTAATCAACTCCAACGAGCGATCCATCGTACTGTCTTGTGTGCCTAGGGCCATAATCTCCCCATTGGCGAAGAGTCAATGATGATCCAACCTAAGCTCACACATCTTTAGGTCTTGGGTGATGCTCAAAACCCATAGGTTCTCTAACACCTAACATAACCGGCCCACGTCTCTCCTTATACATGCTTAATTAGACATAAGTGATCAGGCTCTGTCTAATTAGAGTATGCTAAGAAGGCACTGATTCTAGTTATATTAGTAGTATGTTCGTTTCGAATTTTTTTGAGACTCTTTTAAGAATATTATTTTGTAAAATTTTGGGTTATAGTGTATGGTTTTATTTAGAAAACTAGTATTCTCTATAACCTACCGCTCTGATACCAAATTTGTGACACTCCGCTAAAGCGAAAACACGAGGTATGGCAGGTAGAGTCTCATAGCAATAGTGTATAAATAACACCACCATACATTAAAATTTCATTACATCACTATCCATAGTTTACATTCGCAAAACGACAAGTTTGTAAATAAATTTTTTTTAGGGTGATGATTGAAACGCGGCTTCTTTTAAATACCACCATGTGCCTTTCTTACCACTAAAAAGAATGTTAAAACAAGTGTCAACTACAAGAGTTGGTGAGTTCACAGGTTTTCAATGTACAACAAATATTTATGCAATATTTAGTTCGAGTAAGTCTTTTACTTACTCGCAACAACTTTCATACGTGTAGCACTTTTAACGAGGCACAATGTACACCAAGTAATTTTAAGTGTTGGGCCACTACTAAACCTGCGACAACTACGCCCTTTATACCAAACTACCTCAACGATGGTGTTTAAACCACACATGTAGAACCCGTGTTTTAGTTAAATGCACCCCTACTCGTCAGTAAAAGGTGGGATTGTCAATCCAAATAGCGCTATCCCCTTAAACTATCGGCTCATATGACTTAATAAGTATTGTAACCAAGTGGGACTTTTTAATTAACCCAAACACAATTTTTACTAGCCTACATGGTGTTAGTGCTCGTATTCACAATTCCATTTTATTGCATATTTCATATAATCAATTTGTATCCACGATTTAATCACATTGTATATTTCATACAAACATCAGCTACTTTTATACATGCTTTTCCCCTAAATAACGATGGATTTAAAAATGGGCCGTGAATACTCACCTTTTCTTTCACGGAGAAGATGGTTGAGTGATCAAATGGTACGTCATGGTAAAATCCTTTTAGTGAATCCCTATAGAAAACGAACGGTTGTCAAACTTTTAAAGGTTAAGGTTACTATTCTACCTTCACGTCTTATAAAATGCCTATTTATGTTCTTAAAAAAAATCAAGTTTTAAGCACCTTATTATGGGGTTTATGGTTTAAGAGTCCAATCTTTAGTGGTTTTAGGAAATCATGCATGCTGACAGAATCTTTGTGACGCAATAATGTCCATGGTTCACCTTCATCCAAGAAGTATATTTTCCAAAAAAATTATATGTTTTATTATACAGAGTTAGGATCATTATGAAAAAAAATCAAGATTTTTGGATGAGTGGAAGGGTCCCAAACAAATTTTACCACAACAGTGATTACAACTTTCAAAACAGAAAACTCCTTCTTAATGTTACACCCTTTTGAAATAGTTATACTTATTATTTTCCAGTGGTTCATGAATATTTTTAAAACTAACACATAAGGCTAGCCTTTCCAAAATAATCACTATATTTGGGTGTATAGTTTGGGAGTTATGGTTGTTTAAAACATGCATGTGGAAATCTGTCAACTCTGGACAGATTGCACACTTATTTTGTAAAAATCGGTTAAACCCCTAAATCACCATGTTTTTGGGTGGGGTTAGACTCTTTAGAAATCCAACACTTTAAGCTATACTCCAGAGGTAAAATTTCATGATTTTTTATGTGTCTTCTAAGAGTTATAGATGAACAATGAGACACAAAATTTCTGACCGACCACTGTTGCAAACCAAATTTGTTTTGGGTGTTGTGATGTTATAAAGTCATATTTTCTCATGATTCCACTTGGGTTTGAAAACTAATACACTAAATATTATTGTGGAACAATATTCATGCTTATTGGGTCCATACACAACCAGATATGGTCGTTCCAAACTCATGCAATGAATCTGTCCAGGAGAAAAGTCATTTTTTATGCATCAATGGACTTTTATGCATCAAAATTTCCAAAAATGATGATTTTATGAAAGAAGATCACTCTACTATTCAATATTAAAGTAAGAATATATAAAATACAATATTATTGGTAACAAAAATGAAAGAGAACTCAGATTCCATAAGAGACACAAAAATGCATGAAATGAAGTTTTTTCTTGTTTTTCAAAAGTTCTAGATGGTTAGATCACGATTTTTCACCATATTAAGAACATTTTTCATGTCTTTGGTGTAAAATCTACCCTTAGAACTTAGAATGAAGAACACCTCTCCTTTGTAAACTTAAAAGTATGAAAATGACAAGAAAATGGCACTAAAAATGCATAAAATAAAGCCAAAATACTAACAAATGTTCTTAGCTTTGATTAAAAGAAGATGATTTCTTCAAGTTTTGCTTCTTGAATCTTTTCTTTTCTATGCTTAAATGGCTGAATTTTATTTCTTGAAGAAGATGGAGGGAGAGAGTAGTAGATGAAAAGTGAGGGAGAGTAAGGAGATGAAAGGTTGCCAAGAGAATAAGAAATAAGTATTTTAAAATTTCAAAATGTATTTATATGTAGAGGAGAATGGGGGGGGGGGGGGGGGCGTCCATTAGATGGGCCTATGGGCCTCTCTCTACTTTGTTTTTAAAAAAATAAGCCCATAATTTAATAAGTTGGGTATATTTGTGAGAAATTAAGAAAAAAGGCCAAATTCCTATTTTATGAGATAAACGAATTCCTTAAATATAATTTTAAGTAAAAGTATTTAAAATATGAAGATTCTATATTTTATGCAAGTTTTAAAAATTATTTGGAGTGTTTGGCATTTTATAAGACGATCCGGTTCATTACGGGTCGAAACAGTGTTTTCTACGCAACCTACCGGGATTTCTAACTACTTGAGCTCTAATCGCTCTACTTGAGTGTTAATAATATTTCTAAAGTGCTATCTAGCTACTAACCTGGTATTTAAATTTCTGGATGTCACATTTGTAGAACCAAATATGATGTCGTCCACATATATTTGTACAAGTAGTATGTCACCTTTATGCTTCTTGAGAAAGAGGGTTGTATCAATTGTACCTTGTTTGAATCCATTGTTGATGAGACAGGTGGATAGAGTTTCATACCAGGTCCTGGGTGCTTGCTTTAGCCCATAGAGGGCTTTGTCCAGAAAGTAGACATACTCTGGATGTTTTGGATCTTCAAACCCAGGGGGCTGTTGCACGTATACTTCTTCTTGAAGTTTTCCCTTGAGGAAGACAAACTTGACATCCATTTGATGGACCTTAAAGCCTTTGTGAGCTGCATAGGCTAAGAATATCCTGATCGCTTCAAGTCTTGCAACGGAAGCAAATGTCTCATCATAGTCAATCCCTTCTTCCTGGCAGTAGCCCTTGGCAACAAGCCCGGCGTTGTTCCTTATGACTATGCCATATTCGTTCTTCTTATTTCTGAAGACCCATTTGGTTCCTATGGCCATCTTCCCTTTGGGTACAGGCATGAGGGACCACACCTTGTTTCTCTCAAACTGGAGTAGTTGTTCTTGCATCGCATCTATCCAGTTTGGGTCTTGTAGGGCTTCAGAAATTTTCTTTGGTTCTATCATGCTAAGAAAGTTGGCGAAGAGACATTCATTGGCTGTTGTTGATCTCGTCTTGACACCAGATGTTGGATCACCAATGATTTGGTGATGTGGGTGGTCTTTCGTCCACTTGGTGCTTGACTAGGGTTCTAGAGCAACAGGATGCAATTCTTCATCGACCGATGGAACTGCTTGCTCTCCCTCGAAGAGATCATCTCCAGAGTGAGAC